CTTTCCTTGTTGGGTGCGTAGCCTTTTCCCTTTTGGGGGTAGTGATCTGGAGAAGTGAAAGTGGAAAGGGAAAGTCCACTGGTGGTGTGCTGAGTAGCATTGCCCATCTTAACTGCAGATGCTGGAACATGTGGCAAGATGAGGGCCTCTGAAATAAAGGCAGGGGACAGAAGGAGTTTGTCTGCTACTTGGACACCTTGTAGATCTGCATGGCACGCAGTGCTTACGCTTGCAGTACCGGGGGAATTATGTCCCATTTTGAGCTTCCTCTGTTGTGTTATCACAGACACAGCATCTTACAACACTTTGCATGTCGTATCTGGGGCCAAGCTGGACTTGCAGTGAGTGCAGCTGGGAGAGAAGAGGACATGGTTAAAGTTTTTCCTATCGGTGAGAACATTGCTTCGTACACTGATTGAACTTACTTTGGCACTTAGTGAGGCTCCTGCCTTTTTTTTTTTTTTAAAAAAGAAAGTGGAAGATGCTTGCTGAACGAGAGTCTGCAGGAGAAGTGGGACAAGCTTGATGACAGAAGCAGCACACAAAGCTTTCCAAAGAAATGTAATTTTAGTCTTGGACACAGAAGATAAGATCTTAGATGCGTGTGTTGCAAACCCTGGGTTGCTGTGATGAATGGGCTTTTTGAATGCTTGATTTGAAACTGATGTTTAACTTGCAGCAGTGGTAGATGCTCGCAGCCACAACTGAAAACTCAATGCATACTGTATTTTGATAAAGTATAATAACAGTGCGAAATCATCTGAAAAATCCAATTTGTATTGTCTCCAGTTGGCCATTTTAAATTACTAGATTTTTTTTGGCCTTAATCTCTTCATGGCTGACTTGAATTTTCAGGTCCGCTGTGGAAATTAATTCAGGTTGGTGAAGCGTTTCCCTGGGAGGGAATTAAACAGCTCTGTGGGAATAGAATTTGAATTTTATTTGGTAAAGGAGAGATGAGGCCGTGCGTGAGACAATAACAAAACATGGAATAAGTCCTTGGTTGGGGGAGTACCATGCATTCTGCTTGTTGGGTAAGGCATTCTGTAGAGGAATTGTTTGATCTTGTTATTAAAACATTCCTATTTTTAGGTGTATATGATGTGAAAAAGTACCCTGAATTAAACCTTGATAGGTATTTCTTAATACCTGAGTGCTTTGCAATGTTAATGTTCAGTTAACATAGTCTGTATGTGGAATTTAACAGTCCTCATGCATTGCACATAGGAGCATTAGCTGGGATTTTGCTAAGTACTTTGTAGGCTCCTTAAATGACATACTCAATGTGTCAAAATGCCTCACATTCGTGGACTTCTGAAAGGGTAGCTGAAGGGGAATGCTTCTCATCTAAATAGCATGATAGAGCTCTGAAGCTCACAGAAAGCTTCAGCTGGGAAAGGGGACTGACAGCCCCTGTCACTTGTTCAACCATGAACTTTGGGATCAGTGTTTTGAAGCTTGAGAAGAGATTTTTAACAGCCAAAGTGACCATCTTTAAGGTGTGGATTTTTTCTAACCATTTGGATGTTTAGGCTTTCTTCTCCGTATATCTGAATGATCTGCAACATGTTTTGTCTCAGCAATGCAGTGTTGTCCTATTTGTATCTGTCTAGAATACAGTCACCAAGATCATTTTCTCAGCCCTTTGTTTTGGACTCTTGTCTCAACAGCTCAGGTGTACCTCCTGGATAATGTCAAATAAAAATATAAACACTCGCCTTCAATTTCTTGACACCAGTCATCTACTCTTTCCACAGTATGTCTTGGCTAGTCTGGAGAAGACACCTCCCTTTTCCCCCAGTGGGTCCCTTGAGCCAACCTCCATTGTCCTTTCATTTCAGTATTTCATCTGCACCTTCTGGCTTGTTCTCATTATTCCATAAAGCCTAATTTTTTTCTGGTTTATGCAACGTTCTCAAGGGCTTTGGGAGGAGGGCTGCCCCTTTGTTCTGCTAGTACAGTGCTAGCCAGAGTAGACTAAGGTGTTAAGGGGCTATTATAAGAATAAACTAAGAATGATTTTCAGATAATGTCAACCTGCTGTGCTCAGGAGGAGGAGAAAGGAGAGTGGGAAGTGTCCTCGCAGCTCTCTTGGAGCAGAGGAAGGATCGTTGGTGATTTCAGAAGCTGGAACGTGTCAAAAGAAAGTAACTTGTTGCACACCACCGACCATGATAGTGAATGCATAACAGGGGCTTGGAAAAAGTGGGGAGAGTGGCGTGGTATCAAGGTGGGATTTGATCAGTGTGCTGCTCCGTCCCTTCCTTTCACAGGGTTGTTCATCTGGAACAACAGCTGTCACCACGCATCGTCAGAGGCAGTGTCAGAAAAGCGTTGGATGCTGCTCTTGAGAGTTATCTCAGTGTTAAATGCAGTGTGTTGCTGTCACTGAAAACCATCCGTAACCCTACAAACTGGTTAGGCCAGCTTTAAAGCCTAGAATAACCCCGAGCAGTTTGTGCAGATCTAAGTGGTGATGGCAGGGATGGCAGGTTCATCAGCAAAGTCAGGTTCCAGAGGAGTAAAATGACGGGCTGAAGGCCAGCATATCTTGCCGTCGTACAGCAGCTGAATCCTCATGAGTCTGGGGATTAGAGGTGATAAACATCACAAAGTGCAGCCTTAGATGATTAGCGGACATGCCCTGTTTCGCTGGGCACCCATGGCTAGGTTTCTCTCCTGCGTGCATGATGATAGAAATCTCAGGAAGTTCGGGGCTAATTACCTGTTTCAGTGATAGCTCTCATTTATATGTAGCCTTCCCTCCCAAAGAGAGTCTGTAGTAGATGACAGAGGATAGCACTGCCACGGTGTAGCTCGACCCAGGGGTGCGAGAGGCAGCAAGCTCCGCACAGCACGGTGTTGGGGAGAAGTTACCCAAACAAGCATTCGAAAGTTGCATTTACCAGGGGATTTTGGATTTCCAGGCAAAGAGACCACTTGAAAGCTCTTATCTGAATGATCCACACGCAGCAAGCTAGAGGGTGTGCACAGATCCACTGAATATTTCATTGCAATCGGCAGGCAGGGAGCTGCACTCCCGTGTTTGTGAGTAGAGAGGCTCAGGGCGGGTAGAAAGAGAGCAGCGTCCTCTCTCCTGAGTTAATATTTAGACATTGCTACCTCTTTCTTTCATAAATACTTCTATTTTTATATTTCGGCACTTCCCAGAAAGCTTTGGGAGTGAGCTCTTCAGAAACTTAAATACGGTGTTTAGCCCTTGCTGTACAGTTACTTCTCTTGGCAGAGCTGCGCTGGCTGTTCTTGTGCTTCTGATTACAGGATACATATTTTTCATTTTTAATTCCTTGGTGTGTCTTTACTCAAATTACCTCCTTCCCTGCCAGCGGTGGAGGTTAGGTCCCACCACAAAGTAATTACTAGCACTGGAGTTGCACATGCTTCTCCCTTATTCCCGTCACCCAGCTGCTGCCCAGTGCCCGTGTGCCGGGGGTGTGTGTGTGTGCGTGTGGTCTTAATAGCAAAGGGCAGACAGCAGCACGCAGGCAGTAAGCCCGCTCTTATTTTTGTTACCGGTCTGCAGCTGAACTCTGTTGACATCTCACCAACTGGACACGCTCAGGTGTGTAAGGGTCTTGTGTCGGCCTTGCAGGCTGCTGGTGGCACAGCCCCAGCACCGTGGCTGCCCCCCGCAGCGGCGGTGCAGCATGCAGTTAATTCAAAGCCCTGTTGCTCTTTACTAGCCGTGCGGCGTACGTGCTGGCTCTCCGCTTTAATTCCGTATATGCAGTCAATACTCCGTGTGAAGGCAGGAGGGAAGGAAGGACCGACACTTTTCTCTTGCGTACGTTTGGCCTCAGATTTCAGTTGCTTAATTTAATGGATGCGCTTCTCGGCGGCTGACCAGTTGTGGCAGAGGACTGTGCTGTGCACTGTTGGGATGCAGGACGGCTGGTGTAGGGTACTCTCCTGCAAGAGGAAAGAACTTACATGACTGAACTCTAGCAGTAAGGATGGGACTTGTTTTGAAGGCAGAATTGCAACTGCCAAAAATGCATTTGGTTTCTTTATTTGGTTTTTTTCTTTTTAATTTTAAGCAGGGTCGTTAATAGCCTTGTAGAATTGTTTTAAAGTCTGTGTCCTTTCAAGTTCTTGATCCTCTATGGTACTTTAGACCTGGGAGAATAAGTAAGTCCTTTCTCAGCAAGCTTGAACAGTGACTGCTTCATGAATGGAAATGGGGAGCTATCAACTTACCATGCCAAACGTCTTCCAGTTCTTGACAGTGCCAGGCAAACCTGTCAGCTTTGTCCATGGAAAAACTGCACGACTTTGTCCTGATTAGTGAGCTTGCAGTAAGTGGAGCTAGGGGACAATTCTGCCAACATGCGATGCACGTTTCATTGCTGCCAGTCAAAATACTCATCCTGTGCTGTGACTTCCAGAGGCTCCGGAGAGGAACTTGATGTGATCACCATGGCACTGGTGCTCCTGTGAAATCATCGAAGCCTTTATCCTCTTTTATACTTACTAAATGAATCCTTGGGGGGAAAAGCGTTGAAGATGAGAGTGTGAAAAATCCTTTGTTCTTAAAAGTACAATATCACCCCTCTGACTGCTTGATGATTGCGAGCAGTAGAAGGAGCAGAAGCCTGGCTAAACTCTACAAGGAGAAATAAAACTGAGTCGGCAGGCGTTAGCGTGTGTAAGACACGGCTCCCTGGCTGCTTTACCCAATGGCTTGTTTAGTCTTGTTCTGCTCCGTGTTAGCAGCTTTGGGCAACTTACAGTGATTAGTGCTCTGTGTCTTTCCTCCTTGCTCCTGTCTGTATCCTGGGGCTAGGATTAGGTTACAGCCCTGAAATGGCACGGCCGTCTGCATTGACTGAGAGCTGAATAGTAAGGGCAGAGTTTTGTTGATCGACTGAAATGCCTTCTGTGTTTGTTTCCCTTCTCTGGAGGAGGGATGACATTATTTTCATTTGTAGTCTTTCTGTCTCTGACCTAAACATGTGGTGTCCGATTTCCTTCCCTGGCAGGTGACCTGGAAAATGAGGAATGGTGTCTGGGTACAGAGCTGACTCCAGCAGCCATAAAGACTGAGCCAGCGTTGTGTGAGACGTCAGGCCTTGCTCCCTCCGTCAGTCTCACTGTCACAGCCACGTCGCTGGAGGGGGAACAACCTGAGCTACAGACGGATGCCCTGGTACGTGCAGGCTTTCTGTTCTCCTCTCTGCACAATTAGCTATGGATTCTCCTGAGACTCTGCATACCAGGGTAGCCTCCTCGGTGCCGCAGGCTGTCAACTCAGGCTGCACACTGCGGCCTGCTTTAACGTTTTTAGATGTTTGCTGGTGTCCCACTGCTGTTGTAAGAGCTTGTTTTTCAAAACACTTATCTACATCTTCGGGTTTTAATGGTTGGATGCACAACTTTCTCTTGGATGCTAGCCCCTAAGCCTGGGGCTCACGCATTTTTAAAAATATTTAAAGAGTTTCTGATGAACCAGCCCTGCCTGAACTGACTAACCTATTTGCCCTATTGAGCCTGTGACAAGCGAAGTGTCTTCCATAATCACTTGCTTTAGGGCTGCTGTGCCTTCCCCTAATCAGAACAAGACTTGTGGTTTGAAATTGCTGGAGAGTTTCGCCGTTTGCCTGCTAAGTCACTTTTGCCAGGTCCGTGAAGCTTTGACACTTGGAGCTGCTGCTGCTGCTTCCACTCCCAACCGGCCTTGTGAAGGAGCGTGTGTGATGCCTTTCTGACCACAGCTGGAGCAGCCTGCGGGCGTTCTCAAGGGCTTAGTTTGGCTGTGGTTGAGTTAAGGAGAAGGAACTGCAGCAGCACATGGCCTGCCAGAGTCCCCTGCCAGTGGAGGAAGAAGGGTGACTGGTCCCAGTCCCCAGGGTGCGATGGCAGTCCAGACCGGGTGGAGTTAGGATATGCTGAAAATAAACGTTTCCACTTGGATGTGGATCAGAAATATGTGCAACAGAAATTATTTTATGAGGAAGCGAAAATAGGAGACACGAATTTCCCATAATCCTCTTCCAGTCTGAATGTGCTGTCCCTGGTACATCGTCCTGCTGTAGCCTGGAACGCCGTGATGTGCCGAGTATTTTGGGACTCGCTGGTGGCTCATTCCCGTTGCACAGATTAGTTACACAGGTTATTGAGAGACATTTTGGCTGCAGTGAGCGTGCTGGTGTGCCAGACTGACTTCCTCGAGCCGGGGACTGTAGCATTCAGGCAGAATCTGAGCAACAGCTTGGCAGCCTGGTGCCCCAGCCCTGTCAAGAGGGCAAGCCGGACGTCTTCCAAACTTTGGTCAGCCGTGACTGTCTCTTTTCCTGCTCCTCCACACCGTGAAATGAACTTGGGTCTGATAATCCGGTGTCCGGTGACTGGCACCTTGCTCTTGCTCCCAGCTGACAACAGTCTTGAACAGGCTCTCCCCCACTGCCAGGAGTGTTTCTGTCTCTGCTCAGACAGACTGTGCGGTCCGGCAGATCCTAGCGGCAGCTCTGTTGCTAAGAGAAGTAATTTAAGTGGGCTGCATGCTAGCTTTCAGTCTGAAATGTCATCTCTGAGGCGTAATCTTTTATTTAGCTAAATATAGTAGTAAGAAAAGCCACAGTGGGAGTAGTCAGGGCAGTATTCTCTGTAGCCTGGTTTAGCAAACTGTGTGAAGCAGTTAAAGCTTTGCCTGTAGCAGAGCAGAAGGAGAGGGAAACCTCTCCATTTATGGAGAAGTCATCCTTGTGTCCTTCTATTAAGATTTTTAAGATGTGTGCTTTGGGTTTTCATGCTGTTAATTTCTCTTTTCCAGATGAAACCACTGAGCCAGAAAGTTCTTCCAGAGATTAAATTGGAGCCCCATGAAGTTGATCAGTTCCTGAACCTCTCTTCTAAGGAAGGTCTGTTAATTACCAACCCAAAATGCAGGGGGAGATGACCAGAATGCACAATGAATGTACTTTATCCTGATTAAATATTTGGCTTCCTTGTTTACCATGTTAATCTTTAGGCTGAGGCTGTTGCCTTCTAGGGATTCAACTCAAGCTGCTGCAGAGCCAGCCTCGCTCTGACCCATTTATGTGTTTGTTTTGTTTTGTTTGTTTTTTTTTTTTTTTTTATCTTGTTTTCACACGGAAAATGATCCTTTTCTTGTCTGTAGCGTATTAACAATTGTACAGTTGCTGGAGGGAGCTTGAATCCTTAAAGTCTAGGATTATTTAGGCGAGAAGATAAATCAATTTGAGGGGATTTAACTAAGGCATAGAAAACGTGAAGAGCAGAAGCAAAAACTTTACCATTTTAACCCCTGATACAAAAGCAAGAATATGAGTTTATATGAAATTAAAAGTTAGGTGCAACTGCTTGTAGCATATTATTTTTAGTAGAGTTTTTAAGAACTGCTAGAATCCCTTTGCACTAATCTATAAATGAGGGAAGGAGGAGCAATGGCCCCTGCCCTGAAAGTTAAACATGGTTTTCTGGCATATAATCTGTCAACCCAAGGAAAGTCTGAAAGAGCCAAATATTTGGGCTGAAATTTGAGCAGATAACTGCATCTCACTTAGGAACACTTGATACTCTGTTAGTGAATTCATTTGTGTAAGTAAGTAGAACTGCCCTAGGGAGAGAAGCAATGTAACAGGTGGAAAAAGGGAGGCTGTATCTCAACCCAGGGCATAGATTTAATTGCTCAATTTGTGGGATTAAGGGCCTTTCTGTTTTTCAAGTGCATATCTTCTCTGGCAACTGCTAGAGTTAAGATGCTAGACAAAAACAGCTCATATATAATAGCTTTTTTTTTTTTGTTACTATTTTTCTTTCTTCCTCCCCCACCGCCCATTTGATCCTTTCAACTCAAATTCGCAAAGTATAACAGAAGTGAAAGGTGACAAATTCAGCCCTGTATCTTCCTACTCCCAATTTTCACTGCTGTGAATTTATGTCAGATTAAAAATGACTTAGTTATGGCTGGTTTGTACATCTGCTAAATCGTCCGTGTAATATGAGTAGGTGAGATGTTGCCCTGTTTCTCTTGGTCCAAACCCATTTGGTCCTAAGCAGCACTTTGCTTGCCAATTCTAGCACAGGTTCTTTTGTCTGCAAGCGCAGCAGCAGTTAGTTTATGGCCCTGGATTGCACAACACAAGAGGGGTTCCTGTGGTGGCTGCTCCTGCTCCATCGGTACATTAAAACCTTTGCTGTCACTAGGCTGTCACTTCCTCTCAGTTTTGCCAAACCAAGTCCTTAGGAGGCAGATTATTTCTCTCCTCCTTGTTCATATGACACCTCGGACGTGATACCTTCTCTTGAAAAATGCTGGTGGTTTGTTTAATCCACAGCAAAGTTAGGAAAGGCTTATTGTTTTTGAAGAGAAAGCACGCTGGCTCAGAGCCCTCTTTTACTGTGGTTTTCCAGGGACAGGGGACTCGTACTGCAGCGCTATACTTAAACCTCCGAGCAGTTGGAGAAGAAGCTGAAGTGTAGGTAGAAATGACTGGAACATATGCACAGAGCCCTGTTTTGTCTGTTGAACCTAAAGATAGCTGCTGCGTTTCATTCCTCCTTCGGACACCTGCATGCTCTGAAAATCTTCCAAGTTGCCACTTCTGCTTGCTCTGTTTTTTAGCAGAGAGTCCTAGTCTTGGAAACCGGGTGGCGATGGCGGTGGCAGCTCTGGAGGCAGTTCACATTAGCACCTCAAAACCTTGTGTTATATGTATCTCTTGCCATTTAGCAGTGGATCCCCTGCATTTGCCTCCAACCCCTCCCAGCAGCCATGGCAGCGACTCTGAGGGAGGGCAGAGCCCAGCTAGGTCGCTCCCTCCTTCAAGCCCAATTCAACTCCAAGCCACGGCTAAAGTGACATCACGCACAGCTTCAGCGCTCTCCAACTCCCCTCTCCTGACTGCACCACATGTAAGTTGGGCTGACTTTTTCCAGCATCTATCTGTCTCTTTTTTTTTTTTCCTTTTTTTTTTTATTAATTAATTACTGGTTTTGCCATGGATTTGCTAACTGTGTTGTTCTTTAGATTAATCCGCCTCTGGTCAAACTGCCCAACCAGTAATTCTGGCTCACTGGTCTGTTCTGTTCCCACAGAGAACAGCGTGTGCCTCTCCTCTAAGCCGAGACGGGCTTCAATGGTGTTATTACGTTTCTCCCACTGCAGACTGTGTTTTGCAGTAGGGCCCAGCCCTTCTGGGTTAACCTGTCCCTGGTAGATCTGCATCTGTCCTCTTGTCTTGTCGAAAGCAAGTGGTGACCTTTAGGGAGGGATTTTCAGTAATGCTTTTCGTTTGTCTCTTTCTCTGGTTGATCCAAGGGAAGTTTTACTGTTGATCTCGGTGTATGCAGGGCTGGGCCGAGAGCAACTCGTTTGAGGGAATCTTGTCCCAAGGGTTGAGTCTCTGAATGGAAGCTATCTAAACTGTCTTCCCTTTCCATGCGTTCCCAGTTGCAGGAGGCTGCTGTTTCAGTAGGCAGCGTCCTCTCTGAAGGGGGAGAGCTGCTGCCTCTCTTCCCTAACACCCTTTTCTCTAGGGCTGCGTGCGCTTACTGTCATATTATTTCATTTCCGTAACAATTGCAGAAATTACAGGGGACTGGCCCACTCATCCTGACAGAGGAGGAGAAGAGGACACTGATAGCAGAGGGGTACCCAATCCCTACCAAACTGCCCCTGACAAAAGCAGAAGAGAAGGTGCTGAAGAAAATCCGCAGGAAAATAAAGAACAAGGTAAAAGTTAGCTTTGGTGGGTAATTCCTACTCATCCTTCATTTAAAAGGATGCTGCAACAATTCTTCAGTAATGGCCTGTGGTACTGTTGAATGCTGTAAGATGTATTTTAGTAGAGAGTTTTTCTTTGTTCCTAAACACATACATCAAATTGTCTGTCACTGTGACAGTGTGCCTCTGTCCAGGTATTTACCTGAACACCTGAACAATAGAGTATTTAGCAAGCAGGGTATCAAGTTGCTGTTGCTTGGCTCCATTTTAAAAACAGTACAATCCTACCCTTATGGTAGGCAAAGAGCTGTATTCTTTCCATGGTGATGGTGGTGGTCTTTTCCACTGTTCCATGTTTTAAAATCTGACTGTGTATTTCAGTGCCCTAGTCTTCTGATCCCTGAGTTCCACAACCTTTAAATGAATGGTTGATACCAAAGCTGTGAAATGCCCTACAGGTCTTTTCTTTCTTCTAACATGGGAAAGAGCCTAGAGACAGGGAGGAAAGCATTTTTTATTTTTTTTTTTCAGACCTGGCCAGCTCACTTGTTCTAGTGGATATCAGCACATCTTTGAAGGTTAATGCATTCTGGTTTTGGTTTTGCAGATGGAAGAGTAAATTTTCCCACACTGAACTGGAATTTGGTCTTGTAGTATATATTTTTCAAAATATTTGGAAGTGACCTTATGCAGTTTATGTACCACTTTCATATAATCAGTCTCATTTAAATTGGAGGGGACCTCTGGAGGTCCTTCGGTCCACCTTCTTGCTTTGAAAGCAGGGTCAGCTTAGAGCAAGTTTCTCAGGGGCTTCTCCAGTCACGTTTTACTGTCTCAAAGGGTGCCGAGTCCTCAGCATCTCTGGGCAACCCGTTGCCATATTAGGCCACTTTTGTAGTAAAAACAAATAAATAGCATTCTTAATGTCTAATTGGAATTTCCCGTGTTGCAACTTGTATTTGATGCCTCTTGCCATTTTGCGGTACACGTCTGAGAAGACTCTGACATCATCTTCACCAGGCGTGACTGTTGAAGACAGCAGTAGGATTCCCTCCTTAGCCTTCTCTTTGTAAACCTGAACAAACCCAGCTTTCTCTGCCTTCCCTGATGTGCTTCAGCATGCTTCTTACAGCAGTGGTCCTCCTCGGGGCTTGCTTCTATCCACCCAAAGTATTGATTTCAGAGCTACAAACTGTAGACTGTACTCAACTGTGGTCTTCCAGGCGCTGACTAGAGGGGAAGAACCACTTCTCTCAACCTGCCAGCCACAATCTTGTTAATGTAGACCCAGATCTGGTTGGCCACCTTTGCTACAGGACTGGATTGCTGACTGACATTTGACTTGCTCATCAGGACCCCCCTGTGTCGTCTTCTACAAAGACGCTAGCACGTGCGTGGGCTTTTCCTCTCCCAGATGTAGGGCATCGTCCCGGGATCATCTTTGAGTATTTGTCCTAGGGTATTCTCTCCGGATTAATCTGATTTACTTTTTAAGGTTAGTTCTGGAAGAGCAGGGGATGATCTTTTTTCTACTACTGGGAAGAGCACTCTTGCTTCAGGATGTGGAAACAGACCAAGTCAGTGCTTTGCTTGCCAAGAATAAAGAACAGTACGGAGGCTTGAATCTAATAACGTCAGGGCGTTTTACCAGTTTATTAATTCATCTCTGATGCTTTTTTTTTTTTTTTTCCTATGCGAATATTTTGTGTTTTTCTCCTTTTTTTTCCCTTAGATCTCTGCCCAGGAAAGTAGAAGAAAAAAGAAAGAATACATGGACAGTCTGGAAAAAAAGTAAGCCAGCCTCCTTCCTGTTTCAAGGGGGCCAATAGCCCTGGTTGCTGGACTGGGAAGGGATCCAGCTGTTGATGCTGGGACTGTTGCGTGCACAGAGCGCCAGCTGCCACCTCGTGGTTAGGACTGAGAAAAGCCCCTTCTGGCTTCTGCTTGTACGTGTGCTGGGGTGCTGCGTTCGTAACTGTGTCTGCCTGCAACACGTTGCTAACATGCCCACAGAGACTTTAAACCTTCGGTAAGGCAAGACCCATCTGCTGTTGGCCTCCCTCTCGTGCGATTCTGTCGGCCCAGTGGGTGGACGGTGTCCAGGGAAAGGTGGGTTCAGGGTGAATTTATTGTGTCTTCTAGTGCAGATGGAGACAGAAATGGGACGTAGGTGAGTCAAGACTGCCTGGGAAAATAAGCAGGATGCGGGAAAACAGCATGTGACCCAACTTTCTTTAGTGAGAAGGAGCCAAACCCCCAGTTAGTGATTTATATCCCAAGTTGATCTTTCTTCCAACAGACAAGTATTCTCGTATTTCTCTTATGCACTTCACCAGATGGATCTGTTAAACCCCTTGTACCATCATTGGTGATATCCTTCATGTAATTTAATTTTTATTTCTTACCTCTTTATGAATGAGTCTCGCTTTCTCAGAGTTACTCTTGTGAAATGCCACCGTATACATACAGATATCAAACCCGTTTACCTTTTTCCTTCTTGAGGCTGTTTCGGCTGGTCGTGTTTGTCTTTTTAGGAGTCCTAACCAACTTTAGTTTAGGGGGTTTCCAGGGACGGTGTGGAAATGAGCAGCCTCTTGGAAATTAATCCTTCTGGCTTATTAGCCTCCCTAAACTTGAAATTCAAGGATCTGATTTCAGAAGTGTGGCATTCACCAAATTGCTCAGTGCCTCGTCTTAAATGCACACATTGAACACTTTTGCACAAAATACATGGTAGCAACATATATATAGCATGCTCTGTGACTCTTAAAGTATCTGTCCCACGGCCTGATGAACAGAGAAAGTCTGAGCAAGGTCTTTGCTGTTGCTATTTCAAGGGGCAAAAAGTAGTTACAGCCCATCCTGAGTGATCTGCAGCTGCAGGGGTGTAGTTGAGCCGTGTAAGAAGGTGCTCCACAGCTAGTAGTATCTTTTGCAATGTCTTTTACACCATGAAATATGATTAAAGATTATGACTGAAGTTCATTTTGTATAACTCTTCATTAAATGTAGGCAAGATCATAGAGCTCTTTGTGAAAACAAGTTTAATAAACAACTGATTTTTTACATTCCTCTTCCTTTCTTTTGTGCTGTCTCCAGAGTTGAGACTTGTTCAAATGAAAATAGTGAGCTGCGTAAGAAGGTTGAAGTCCTGGAGAATACTAACAGGTAAAGTGCAAAGGGAATGAAACAAAACCGTAGCATGCTATTACAGCGAAAAGTTAAAACCTGGAGGTTAAGGGATAAATTGAAATGTGAAGAACAGCTGTAGCTGAGCTCGTTAATGTTAAAGAAAGACGAGGAGGGCCAGTTATCGTGACTGCAGTGTGATGGGAAGCACAGAGGCTTTGACGTGAGGTCTTAAGCTGTCTCACTAGCCTGTGGTGTGCTTGAGAAACCTTTTAGCACTCTTCTTAGAGTTCTTCCACTGCCCAAGGAAACGTGATTAGTGTTACATAACGAGCAAAAAAAATACAGCCCCGCTCTCCAAACTGTCTTTTAGTGACAGACTGTTTTGACAGGAGAGCTCGACCTGGAGCGTGACACTTCCAGAAATTACAGTGCTGAAGCTCAGGAGTCATTGTTGGTCCCTTCTGGACTACTAGATGTCACTGCAGTTATTGTGCACCCATTCTAACCGTCTCACACCCCAGAACTTCCTTCATTTGGAGGGGGAAAATCAACTTCTTGTTTCTTCATTTCTGAAGAAATGGGTGACTCGGTGGTGGCTTTCTCAAAGGACGCATGGCAGAAGATGTCGAACAGCTGAGCTTTTAATCAGATGTTAGCTGAGAGTGAGTGTCAGTCATGGCTTATACTCGGTGTGTTCTCTAATGATGGCAAATTCCAATGAGTAGGTACTAGGTAAACCCACTGCTAACACCTTCTAGTTAGAGGCATTTGTAGTGATGGTTGAATATTGCCATCGAACACGGTGGTAGCGCTGAGGTGTGGGAGGAGGCTGGGTTTTGAAGATAAGACTCACGATCGTGGAAAATGGCCCTAGAGCTTGTCTGGCAGCCGGTGTATCGCTAATTGAGTGGCATGTGTTGTTTCTAATCTCCAGATCCAATCTCTGATTTCATGGAGCCAGACCCTGTAGCACTGTAATTTGCTGGAGAGTGTCTCCCACACGCTGCTCATGCATAAAGACATCTGCTGCTTGTTTGAAGGGAGCCAAGCCATTTCTGTGCCTCTTGTATCTTCCTCCAGGGTTTTACATAAAAGAACCAGGAATTGTTCTGTAGGTGTGGAGTAGGGTTTTCTCTCCCAGGATCTGTCCCAGGAGGTGGTGAAGGCCAGCTGCTCTAAAGAAGAGTGCAGATGTGGATGAACCACTCAGGGACAAAGTGTTGTCAAACCTAGAGATGTTCTCCTCAGTTCAGCTAAATTTGGCCAGCTGTTTTCATCTCTGAGCTGCTGTGGATGCAGTCACGAGAACAGCTTTGTTGGTGCTGTCTATCCTTTCAGACAGGACCTTTAGCATCTTCGCTATTATTTCGTGATCTTAATTCCCTCATGCTGAATGCTCTAAAAATATTTACCTAAGTGATCTCCTTCATACTTTGGGCATGTGGGATGAGTTGCATTGCATTCTCTCCCCTGCAATAGGATTGATACTGATTTGTAATCTGCAGAGAAACAGATCTTCCTGACCCTCTGCTCAGAAATTCTTGTAATTTGTGGCCATGCTCTTTTGGCAATTTAGATGCAAACTGTATCTAATATCTGTTAAGGCTTCAAATTGAAGTACAGAGAAATTTGTAAAAGTGCCTGCTTTCATCAAGCCTGAATTATGCAACATAACACATTATGGTTTTTTTCATCTTAACCCCCAAAGAGCCACTTTTTTTATTTAGTGTATAATTGTGCAACTGGCTCATTCAGAGAATGGTTCCAGGCCCTTGCTTAATGTACATTATCCACTTCCTACAGTTAATTCAAAGCATCTGGTTTCCTTGTTGGTATTTGAACAAAGCCTTGATCTGGCATCCAGAAATTGTTCAAATGTTTCAGAACTTGTCTTCGCAGCATCCTATAGCTGGTACTGCCATCTCCTACGTACAGTCAGGAATCAAAGTTCAAAGCAGTGATGGTCAAAATTATGCAGTGTCAGTTTATTCTCGGATGCTCAAAGTTATATATTTAGGACTTTATTTCTCAAAATACCCACCACACAGCCATACACACACATATCTTATTTAATATGCCCAAAGCAGAGCCCCACTTGACTTCCGTTGCACCTTTCAGCGCGGTGAAAAATGAAGATGTTGTTGAAGGTTTTCTCTAAAAGTAGATCAGGAAACATTAGAGCTGTTCTTCTGTTGGGAAAAATTGTAAGACTGGAAGAAAGATAACAGGAAAATAAGAGCTGTGATTACATGTAAAAATGTTAATGCATTCAAGCGTAGATGAAGAACAAGTTGTTTTCTTACCTTGTTGGGCTGTAGCTGCTTACCTAAAAGCTCATGTACATGTATGTGCTGTCAGTCAGTATCATGTTTTTATAGTCTGGCTGGAGTTGAGAGGAACTGAAGGGCAATTTCCAAAACATACAACTATTGAACAGCAGAGTTGCCTTTCAGTATGTGCAATCAGTGTTTTAGAGCATGTTATTCTATATATAGAACACATTTGCACAGATACATACCTAAGACTTCAGGGAAACCCTGCTTGCATTTCAAAAGCTGGCTCCGAACCATGGAAACACTAGCATTTCTTCTGGTAAAAATGTTCCTACATTATTCTCAGTAACATGTAAAAATTTAGAAGAATCTTCCCCGAGAGCCTGCCTTAGCCTGAAATTCTGGATCTGAAAAGATGTAATGTAAAATGTGTATGTGTGGTCAAAAAATTTGCATACAGAAGCATCTCCCCTGACATTTATGTGTCTTAAAAGACAAGGCGGGAGGCTGGGGTTCAAGATGCAGAGGAGTTTTTAATTCCCATTACTCTGAGTGGGTGACTGCAGCATTTTTGGCATCTTTAGTATTAGATCACTAGCATATGTTTCCTCTCCTAATTTCTGTGACTCAGTCCTTGAAAAGAAACCCATCCAAGTTCATTTCTAGGCAGTTTTCTCAAAACTAAGGAAGCACGTTATTACATGCATATCTGTTTTGTCTTGTAGCCGCAAGTGAGCCAGGTTCTCCTTGGTTTGAGTAGCATCTGAATACGTGGGGCACTTCTGTCTGGGAAAGCAAAGGGTGTGAGAAGAAGCTGGCACCAAGAGTTGAACTGACTTGTCCCAGGCACTGAGAAGGCTGGATCCACTCGCAATTCTGCCACTGGGACCAAAAGCAGAAACTGCCAGTGATCCAGGGGGGTCGAATACAGTCTCTGACACTGTTACTGTCTAGCTGGGAGCCGTGGCTGTTTGGGCTTAGAGGCAGTATTGGAACATCCAGTCCTGTGCATGACAACTGAGAAGTACATTTGTTTTTCACTTCTGTTGAGCCTGTCTTTATAAATATGTTGCTGATCGCTTTTCCTGGAGAAATGATAAGCAGAGAATCCCATTAGCATGTGGTTCAGAGTGTCACGCATGGACAACGTGTAGCTGCTAGAGCTGCTCCCATGGAGTAACGACTAGCAAGTTGTGTAGATGTCCACTCCGACAGGCACCTTGAAGGCAATGGCTTTATAAATAAAATTGAGATATTCTTCCATTTCTCGTGCTCCTGCTCAAGCTATTACAACTTCCAGTCGTCTCAAGATCGTGTTGCGTAACAGTCTGACCCACCAAGGGTTTATCTGGCACCAAAGCTGCCAGACTTCACTGATTTGTTTGGCTGTTCCTTTATTTGAGGCCGGTAAAGTCATTTTGCCAAGTTATTTTCAAGGGGTGAAGGATCTGGATTTAGGTTGCGATGAGATTTCTTGCATTTCACTTCAGAACACCCTTATAATCGTTGACAAAGCGTGGTGGCCCTGGAGCGACTCCCTGGAGCAGGACAGTGTTTTTTATGCTGAAACATCTTTGATGAAAAATGGCTAGATTTTTTTCTTTGTAATTCAAATGAGGGAAAAAATGTGGATTTTTTGCTGCTTTGAGGTATTTTGGTCTTTCAGTGAAAACCTTACTTTGGGATTTGCTCTTTCTTACAAACAGGACAGGCAGAGAAGGAATCTATGTGTAGAAATGGAAGACAGAATAATTTTTCTCTCTCCTTATCAAAATAAGGTTTCGTTCCTCACAAAATAGATATATTTTCTGAAAAATCTCGATCAAAATAAACAGTGTTTGCTGTCCCTCAGAAGCATTTTTTTTTGTTTGGTTTTTTTTTTGTTTTTTTTTTCTAAATTGATGTTGGATTTTAAACATAAACATTGACTCGAGGAAGCCTCCCGGGTGGCCAGGTCCTGGAATGACATATTCTCTCTCCTTAATCAAAGTGTCACTGGAACAGAGGGGAAGCTTTGACTTGTTCCTTACTTTGGTAGTGAAAGTGGCTTTTCTGAAGATGGATACGTGGATGTGCACATGAAAAGAGGACATCACAGGCAGAGTGGATTTGCTGGCAGTGTGTGGAAGGGAGAGCAGGAGCCTTCAGTCACTTTACAGCTTTCCTATGAGGTGCTTCCACTGGCAGAGAAAAGCGTGAAAGCGGGTTCACACCTCCTACGGAGGTGACCCTCTAATTGAATATCACTGGGAAATGTGTCAGACACAGTGAAAATAATCCCCGTGGGTGCAAACCCCCTTATGCACACTGCCTTGGGATTGCGTTTTCTCCTGTTAGGACTTAGCCATAGGCAGTGTGTTTCTCTAAAAGCATTCATGGTCTTCCTGCTGCTATTCAGAGGGAGCATCATCGTTGAATGTAAGTCCCTGTTCTGCAGAGCACAGGGCTTCTCCTTTTCCCTCTCTGAGTCGAGATCACCCCTGCAGCCATCCAGTAACAATGAAGGCAGGTTTTGCATGGGAAAGGAGATATTTTGACCTCAGAATCCAGTCTCCCACCATTCCAGATTCAGATAGAGAATAAAACCACCAAGGAGTGCCCCGTTTTGGTGGTGGCAGGGTAAACTGGTATCATCTCTGGACAAAGAAACCCGTTCCTTGCTCATGCCTCCGCTCTTGCTCTCAGTTTGAAAATGGACTTGTCGCCTGTCAGCTCCCAACACTGAGCCCTTGTCCATTGAGAAGAAGACAGTAGCTCTGCTCAAACAGATAAGTGGCTTTGGGGAGAAGGATGTTTTATATAAAGGTAGCTGATAAATAAGGTGGGGGATGAATCTTCCTCTGTGTATAGGAGACCTCAGAATACTTGCCAAATTATACTTTCCGAAAAGAGAGTGTTTTGGAATCAGGTCTCTGGGCCCACTCTGCCCAGCAGGTTTTTCAAATTGGACACAAAAAGGCAAAGATGAGCAAAATGAGAATTGCCTCTTCTCTGTTGCTTTCCTCCCCAGCCATTAGCTGTTTTCTCACTGACGCCTCCACAAAAAGTGGCAAGAACGATCAGCATTTCCAGGCTGCCGCTGCTGCCAGCCCCCGAGCTGGGGAGGAGGAGAGCTCCTTCTGCCTCGCGCCGCAGAGCTGGTCTGTGTCGAACCCAGTGATTCAGGCCTGAAACAGGGGAGAGGTTTCGCCTTCTGTAATAGCACAGAAATGACAGGGTTAAAAAGGCATGGCTGTGTAACATCGCGGGTGGCATATGGTGGGAACACTGTTTGCAGCACGTCCTGTGCTGGAAAATGATGTATGCCATGCATGCAAGTCTTTGTGAGCCCTGTGCCATGTAGTGGATGTGAGAAAGGTCCGGGGAGAGATGCAGAAGAGAGCAGGGAATTAGGATGGTGTCATTTATGTGATGGACAGTGTTTTCATCTCTTAATTTGCCTGTGGTCCCTCTAATAGCGAATAAAGGACTGAATTAGACAAATCGCTTTCTTTTTTTAAGTACTGAGGTGCAGAATAAACCGTGCTCTCAGGAGCATGCAAGACATCCTTCCTTAATAAGTTGAGAAAGATCTGCTGGCCCAGATAAATCTGTGCTGTGAGCATGCCTTGTGCTCATTTCAGAATGCATTCCTGAAGTCCTTGAATTCATTAAACCCTAATTAGCAATGAGCATTGATGATTAAAAAAATCTATAATAATAGGCAGACAAGTGTATATTGAGCTGTGAAGGCACCTCTGGGTCTGTCCTACAATTAGCTTTTAGCCAGTTTGATCTTAAAATAATCCTTCCATTTTCTCTGACACCCTGACCTTGCCTCTTACTTTACCGTTTGACATCACAGCTTCCAAAGCTGTTGCCTGGAGTTTTTTGGGGGGGGTTACCTTCTGCAATAAGTTGCAAGATTTACAGTAGAAATATAAAATGGGAAACAAACAGAAGAGTTAACATCTTGATGCAAAATTCTACTATATTTGACTGTGTTGAGGACAGACATCTGGGTTACTCCTTGTCGGTTAAAAAGCTTTAATGAAAACAAAATGAAAACTGCTGTAAAAACCCTGTGTCGATTGTTCTTTGAGATCATTGCCCATTTAAATGACTAGTATTCTGACTGTAGTAATTTGTGATGCTACAGGAGAAATAAAATGGCTAGAAAGACAGAAGAATACGTTTCTGATCTGGAACTGTTGACTCCAACCAACCACGAAAGGACTGCCATTGTGTTGGGACCTCTGAAAGATACAGTCAGAGTAGCCACCTCAGGCACCTGTGATTGTTGTCAACTCTTGGAGGATTTAGAACACAGCAGTAAAGTGCTTTATTTAATAAATGAACATGAGAAGTGGAGCTTGTGACTCTGTCTGGCTTTAAGACCGTCTCTTTGAAAGTGGTCCAGCATGTGGTCCAAACCACTGTACAGCAGGTTTTCAGAAAAAGGAGGAAGCTGTATACCTCTGTCACCAGCTAGACCGGTTACAAACTTGCTTCTGCACCTTTTCAAATATTGGTGGAGCTCCTGCTGAATTTGTGTACAAAGAACCAGGTCATATATGCATGTACTCTCTTGCATCTAGAGCAGTTGCAGTTGTTTGTACGCTTACCAGATTTGTTTCTTGCAGAAACACTGAAAATGCAGTTTTTATTTATAAGGGCCATTGGAAAGTGCTGAAGAAGAAATTGCTCTGGGACATCAGTTGAGGGAAAGGCAAAAGATCTTTTTGAGAGGTCCAGTGGTCATACATGTAAAAACCTTGTAAAACTAGAAACATTCCTTCCTACTAACTTCAAGGGGAGGACTTCAGTGATCTGTACCTTGTCATAAATGCTGTATTACTGCCAGGTGTGGCATTTGAAGCAAAAAAGCTGTTTAACCAGCAAGTAGATCAGTGCATTTGACGCTTGTCTGTTGTCTTTGCTTTCCAGAACACTTCTGCAGCAGTTGCAGAGACTCCAGGCCGTGGTTGCTGGGAAAGTGTCCCGTTCATGTAAGGCAGCTAGCACACAGACAGGGACCTGTCTTATGGTGAGTGTCCCTAAAGCTGGGTATTGTAGGGGAATGAGAATCTCTGCCCGCTGCTCAAAGGCACATCCCTTGTTCTGCAACGCCCCTCACCTGCAAATTCTCAGCTTGGGAAACTTCTCTTGGTAATTTGACAATTAGTTTTGAGGTAGGTGAGACTCCTGGCTGATGAAGATTAATGTTTGTGGGAAGGCATTGAATTCCGGAGGAGTGCTGCTTTTGACTGGGTGCTGCAGAGATGAAAGATGGAGCACTGCTCCTCTGAGTGACCTGTTTTATTACTTGCTACAATATTGTATGTGGGAAATAACATCCAGGATTGTAAAATGAAAATGAGCGTGACCTTTGATGCTCGGTTCTGTTGATACCAATAAAAATAAACTCGCCCATCCAAACAAAAATATGACTGAGGCTGTAAATTTACCTCTGTCCTCTTTCAGTAATAGCAGTCAGGGTAAAAAAAGGATTAGAATGAAACTTTTCCCTCCTTCTACTCAGCCAGCAAGTTCCCTTTATACTAGTGCTATAAATTGACGGAAATTATTTTCAAGGCCCAAGCTGTTCTCCTAGTCTGCTAGCCTCTCTGTCACTTTGCAGCAAGACTGGGGCCGGCAGCAGGAATAACCTTGGAAATTCCTGACAGTATCTGTAAAACACACATGGTGTCTGTGTCTGCTTTTCAGTTTTGGGAGTAAATAAGGCAACAGGCCACAATGCTGGTAGACATTGAAAACAAACACCAGTGTTGAAATCTGCCCTTTAAAACACGGAATTGTTGGTGTATATGTGCTTTTGCTAAGAGACACTGTATGTCGTGATGAAAACAGCCCCAGATACCTGTTTTGAAAAAGTGTCAGATCTACCTTGTGTTGATTCTTAGTTTTGCTGTGCGCAAAGAGCTAGTGCACTTACCTCTTCTTCACCCTCCCTTTGCCAGATGGTGGTGCTGTGCTTTGCAGTGGTTTTTGGCAGCTTCTCTCAGAGCTATGGGCCGTATCCTTCTGCTACAAAGATGGTGTTGCCCAGGCAGCATTCCTCGCCAGAGTCCTACACAGACTCCATTGGTAAGTGACAGTTATCCCAGTCTTGCTCCTTGCTTGGTTGTGCTTCAGCACTTGTTTTCCGCCCCCATCCCTGACCCCCTCCTCAAGTACCTCTTGCTTTTCTGCTTCTTAGCCGATCGTTCCTCGAGATACCTGTGTTTTTCAAAGAAGGATAGTTTGGCAAGCTGTGCTGATGGCAGCAGACTTCATAAACATGGGCAAAACGTTTTCCCCACTAGCCTGTTTGGTACTTTTTTGTTCCTGTTTGTGGAACTAAAGCTAGTGGTCTATAAAAGGTAGCAGGATTTCTGCTTGGTGGCAAGTGTTCATACTGTTAAAATGTGCAACTGCCCATCAGCTGGTGTTTCCTTTGCCAGTGTCAACAAAGAGTCCGAGGACCGAGGGGGAAGCTGTTAGTATTACATACCCTTAATGAACCAGTTGCTTTCAACGTGTATTATCAAAGCGATTGTTTCGTTTTGTTCTTGTTTTGTGAATAATTCAGAACGTTTTTGAGCTCTACCCTGGACCATTGCTGCGGTGTCTTCCCTCAGCTACCAAATTACCAGTTAATCACTATGCAAAGGCCTTTGCAGCTTTAATTCTGCTCTGACGGTTTCCGTTTCCTGAAACGACCAGGGCAGTCCTCTGAGCTGCCTGTTTCTCCTCTCTTTTTGTCTTCTGTCTTTGGATGCAGTGAGGTCAAGGAGTCTGCTACTTTATGAAGAGCCTCACCAGCTGGAGGAATCGTCGAGCCCGATCTCCTTCGCAGATCGCACCGACCGGCAGGCCGACACCTCCAAGTACGCAGCGCTGTCCCTGGAAGCCGTGCCGGGGACGCAGCAGGATGATATCATGCAGTTCACAATAGCCAACGAGACAAGGCTGGAGAAATCCGTGCTGCTGGGCCTGCAGCAGCACAGGTGAGTGCAGGGGAGGGGGCGGGGGGGGGGAGCTGCTTGCCACACGGGTGTTCGGCGTCACTGCCTGTTGTGTTTGGAGAGCAGCAGTAAGACTGTGGGCTCCGGTACGCCGGGCAGTGTGAGACATAAAGTATGTGTTTGGTCTCTATCTGGAGAGCCAGTAGGCCAAGTTATTATTGTTCCTCTGGAGGAGTGGTTGCAACAGTATTCTGGTAATACAGCTACTGAAGTCAGCGCTTCTGCCAGAAACCCAACCCCTGTAAGCCTGTTGGTTGTGCCTACCCACTTCGTTAAGCACTTACTTCTGTGTCTCCTGAAGGAATAAGCTTTTGCCAGTTGGGTAGAAGTGTGAGGCTGTGACTCGCTGGGCTTTCTGTGAGGTTAGGGGGTGAAGAGCCGGAGCTTCTCACAGCAGTGATCTTACTGAGGCATTACTGTGGAAAGTTTGAAGGACTTGGTCTGAAGAGACAGACCTGTAAAGTTATCTGAACTTCTTAACGCAGAGTTCCTTCGTAATTTTATTTTTTATTTGTCAGTATAGATGTAAGTTTTTGGGGCCTCTGAAAAGAGAGAGATTCACTGGTTTAACTGCGTGTCTGCGGTTTTCTTCGCACTGTACCTTTTCTTGTCCTGCCACTGTCCTGTTGGCCCAGGTCTTGGTCTCTGCTAACAAGCAGTAGCAAGCACACCAAACAGTGGAGAGAGGGATTTTGTTTGGAAGCATACTATTCTGAGGGTTAGGATGAGCCACATCACCCTAAGCATGCCTTCCGAGCACTTGTGTCAAAGTTATATCTAGAGCCAAAGAGATGACTAATTCAGTGTGTTACCATACTCCAACTGAGAAGTACCTGGTAAATACTGAGTGCCTTTTTAGCATTAGCCAATTCAAGCAGGATATGTGCTTCAAAAAATTACTAGTAGCGTTAACCTTTGTTGTTTTGTTTTGTTTTGTTTTGTTTTTTTTGTTCCCTACAGAGTCAGCTCCGAACTAGAAGGCAATGAAACACTGAAGATAATTGAAATAGATAGAAGAGTCAATGCCACCTCTTAAAAATAAAAAAAAAGGCCTTTTTTCTTGACTTCCCTCTTTCCCACATATTTTCAACCAAAGTCCCCCTGACTTGTCATCCTCAGCGAACCAAAGCACAAAGGAGAGGGAGTTCGACTTCTGCATTGACTGGTGAGGCTGTGACTGCAGATGGGATCTCGTCTTTGTAACTCCCTTCCTTACTTCACACACAGTCCCTGTCTTTGCTTTTATTCCTTTCCTGCCTGGTACCGCAAGGGCAGGATTGAATTAGGATGGCAGACGATGCCAGCAGCGTGCCAGTGACCGGTGGGGGGGGGGGGTGTGTGCATGCATGCACACATCCTAATCTGAGCACAATGACATTCTGTAGAAGAGTGACATACGCAAAACCGATGGGAGCATGTGGGTGAGAGGTTTCTTGGGAGAAGGTAATTGAGAGGAAGAGGAGATGCAGCATGATGCTGCTCAGAATCTAGCCACAGCTCCGTGCCTACAGCACTTAGGCCTGTTGGGAGGGATTGAGAAGGATGTGTGCAGCCTGGTTCTGAAGGAACAAGCAAGGGCCCTGCTACTGTTGAGTTAACAGCATGGGCGGGAGAGGGTTGGGCAGTGATGCTGCTGAATTGTCCTCCCCTAGCTCTTTCTCTTCTCCCCTCCAGCCCCTTTATCATTCAGGGGGGTAGGTTTCTCTCTGGGTTGCCAGCAGCCCTGGTAGGCTTCCCTACTGCTTCCACCCTTGTGGAATTCAAGCAAAGATCAGTTGCTCTCCTGTCGCGCTTTGTGTGGGAGAATTACACTAGTTTAACTTAACCTGTTTAGAAAGCAGGTTTTGTTAAATTTATGCAATGTTTTGGATGGATGTCCTTCGGACTGCTTAAGGCGAATCTGTTTAGCTTAAGTCGGTTCCTTCCCAACAAACCAAATCAATGTAAGGCTTAAACCAGAAGTGCCTCCTGAGAGGACCATATGGATTTAATTTATTGGCTTCTTGATGCATTGATGGAATTTCTTATGTAGACCTGATCTCAGATTGTCCTGTGTTTTCCTTTCCTTGCCATCTTCCTGTTACTGTTGTAAATAGTATTTATTAGCTTTGCAAAAGTTTTGTTCAGGCAGTCACAATGAAGAGGGCCGAGCTTCCCCGACCCTGCAAGTGGTCTGGGCAAACTCTGAAATCAGACACACAAATATCACTGCACGCCCATCCCCTCCCCCCCAAACTTGAATTGCCCGAAAATAAAGCCATCTGACTTATCGTCCTCTTACCTCCTTTTCCAGAGATGTGGTCTTAGACCAACTGCTTAGCTGAAAATACAGGGGTGTGGGTAGCCCCAGCTAGGCACGGGTCAGGCCTGGAGGTGGCAGATATTCTCTTAGCAGCACGGCAAGACAGCCGCTGACCCGAGGAGTTGGGTGTGCAGGCAGGAGACAGGGCAGAAGAGGGATGAGGTGGACACAAAGTCACGAGCAGCATTCAGGTCTCCTCCTGCTCCAGTACTCTTCTCCCTGCTTTGTTTCCTCCTTGTCCCATGGAGCTGTTGCCTTTAAGGGTTCTCCCTCTCTCAGTACCCTGGTCCTGCCTTTTCCCAAGCTGTGCTTCTTGCAGTTTGTCCTTGCAGTGGCACAGTCCCCAGGATTTGAGCAGGGTTTTTTCTGGTTATTACAGGAGGGCACTCAGATCCTACTGAGGATGGATTTAATGTGAAAGTCCTAATTCAGCAGGCTAGCATAGCTACTTTACAGTTTACCAGAAGAAGTCGATTTAAAAAAAAAAAAAAAAAAAAAAAGAATAAAGAAATCTGAAGCTCTTTTTTTTCTTTCATTTTTTTCCTAACGATAAATAAGGGAAAAATTAACCTAGCCTTACAAGTGATTTTTTTACCGTGTACAGTAGATATTTCCTGCAAGTATTTTGTAAAATACTGGATTTCTATTTTATTACAGCAGCTGCCATACTAGCTCCTTTCTTGATCTTCATTCTCCTTAGGATTCCTTCCTTCAGTATCTTATTTGCTGCCCTCAGGCCTGACTCAAAACTCAGTGAAATGAATGGAAGGAATTTGGTGAATTACAGGGGGGTTGTGGATCAGTCCCTACCCGTGCCATTTTGAGAAGGTGTTTCACATTAGTGACAGTGAAACATGGGCCTGACTCCGTGAGCTAGTAATGAGTTTTGGTGTACAGACATGCTTTCTAGGTAGTGCCCTAGTCTTCTATTCAAGTGCCTTTTTATTATTTCACCTTTGGTGGCAACGAGAAGAGAAATGCTGTTGTCATCTATTTTTCACAGGTTTCCTTCTAGGCATGGGCCAGTTTCCTCCCTAAAATCTCTTTCCCTTCACAGTGATCGTGCTGGGTCCTCTGAATCATTCCAGTGTCCACCAACAGCTTTTGTGTGGTTATTTTTTTATTTTTTATTTTTTATTTTTTTTTTGAACAATGTAAGGCTCCACATAATGAACACTGGTGGGTGCCACAAGGGATGGCTGCATTGCTTAGCCACATGAGGTCAGCAAAGTGACAGGAGAAAGCTGGGACTGACCCTCCCCGTTACCTTACGGCTGGTCAGCGTAAGCGAGCACGGTCATAGTTTAGAAAAATCCTGAAATGGACTTTATTTTTTTCCAGAGCACCCGTGGTTTGCCACCTCCGAGGGCAACTGAGTGGTTAAGCCTTCTGCAGGAGAGTTCCCGGGCTGCTGAGCGCAGCGCCGCTCTCACTAGCCTGCAGTTTGAACTGTGCCTAAGTAGGAGGCCGCTCAGCTCATGCCCCTTACCAGTTAAATGGATCACCTCCCGCTGCAGGTACAGCTGACTTCACAGTACTAAAACCAAAATTGAATTATTTTTCAGTACGTAAAGGACAGGCGTTTTCGCGAAACCCAAACAACCCCCCCCCCCCCCTCTCCGAAACCTACTTGCACCAGTCACCGTTAAAGCTTTGCCCTTTTGTTTGCTTAATTTGAGCATCCTGGTTCAGATCTAATTGGGAGATGGTCGTGTTTCCATCTGGAGCATTTTACACCGGCCGCGTTCTGGGTCAGGCCTCTGAACTAATTCGTCCAAGCCAGTGTGATCATACCGATTTTCTTGTAACTGTTCGATAATCTCTTTCTGTAATCTTAATTTGTGGAATCCTCTGCGTTATTTCTAGGTACTCTTTCGGGGGAATCTCTTGACCTAGCACGCACGTTGCTGGGGGATTTATTATATTGAGTGTTACTTCTTTATAATAAGGAAAACCTTCGCTTTCCCGTGGCACGGCTGTCGTCATTTTTCTTCAGGGCCCTTAACAGAACAGGTTTCTCTGCTAGATCCCAGGGGCCCAAGAATCCCCCCCCACCATCGCCTGCCCGCAGGTGGCTTTGTGACAAGGCCCTCGCTGTCCCCAGAGGCAGCTCGTGCCCGTGCTGGGTGCCTGGCAGGGGGACAGAGGACGGGACGCGGCAGGCCGAGGCAGCTGTTGGTGCTCCGGGCACGGGGAAGGAGTAGGGAGACCTTTTCCAGGAGGGTGCCGGTGTAAGTGCTTTTAATTAGCTCAGCTGTATTCCTTGAGGTCTTCTGCCCGTATCCTTTTCTGCAGTGATCAGTGGACTTGGTGCTGTGGAATAACGTGCGTGTGTGGACGAGGCAGGCAAAGCCCTTCTGTTGTGCTGCTTAATTTCCGTTTCCACCAGAAGACGTAAGCGATCCTTGGAGTCTCCAGCTGTAACGTTGTGCTGCTTGTCAGCACGATTTTACACACGCTAGTAAACTTAGCTTTTGGCCTATAGCTTTAAAGCATGGCTAGATCTGTCGGGTCTTTGCTTCTAGGGAGATAAGCTATGAAGGAATGGAGGGCATTATTTTTTTTATATATGTGTATTTAAAAAGTATCAAGCACAGGGCATGTGACAGTTCTAACCTTCTTACCAGTGTGTAGATAATGTTGTGTTGTTTTTTTTTTTTTCCTTTTTTCCCCCAGGCTATTTATAGTTCTTCGCTGCGTTTCTCTTATTTCATCTGTACCATTCAATATTTTTCAGCAGCACAGACTGATAATGGATTAGGCTGAGGTTCTTAGGCCAGATCCCAGCTGATAGAGCGCAGCACGCTTTTCACCGTGTTTGGAGGCTGCAGGTCTGATTTATATTGGCAGAGGACCCTTCCATATCTCTCCATATAAAAGTGTATCTCAATGTTTTCCTGATTTTTCCAATGCAGAGCCGAAAATGAATCTAAAAACTTTTCTTCTTTGTTTTTTTGCCTTTTTTTTTTTTTTTTTCCTCTCCTAATAAAGAAACCAACCCACCTCTCCACTCCCATCCTCCCAAACTGTCAGTGGTGAATTCTGTCTAGACACATTTAGAATGTAGGTCAAGTAAATGAATGATACTAATTGCTACGTTGGGAGGGATTTCCACTGAGTATTTGGGCTCTAGATTCTAGCTAATGCCAAGAGGCCATTGTACAAAACCCATGCAGCTAAGAACAGAAGTATATGGAGTATTTTTATACTCCTGGTGACTGAAATATTTCTTTCTCAAGTCACTAATTAGAAAGGGAACATTTTGTATTCTGAAGGTGAAATGGTAGGTCAGTACTTTGTAACTACAAAAGTTATACTAGCCTATATAAGTAGTGTAGTGCTATGATGTATTGCTGCTTTGCACTATAGTGTTAGGGATAAACAACTTTAGGGTTTGCAAAGATGAATGAACTGGCTTACACGCTAAAGCCTTTACAGATAAGATGTAAGGATTCAGTCAGTGGGCCAGGATATTGTCGCTTTCTCATGGCCAGCAAAATGACAGTGGGCGTTCAGGGCGACGTCGAGGGTGTGATCCCAGTTCGTACCGCACCGCTCAGGCCATCAGCCTCCAGTGGAGGCTCTGGGATCGGAATTGCCATTTGGGTTTGTGGTTTTCACGTCAGGCCTTTTTCTGCTCTACCAAGCTATATATATGAATTGACTTCCTACGTAGAAAAGAGTGCCTCTCGCTGGAAACTCTCACGGAGTTCTGATATTAGTACCAGTAGTCTCTTCTCTGCCCTAAAGCCCCTGTCCATACTCTTCCTCCAAGAGTTGGGACTGAATAGGTAAGAGCAAAACACGGGAAAGCTGGACGTGTTGACCTGTCTTACAGAAAAGATGAAAGAAGTGCCAGGTGGAGGGACTCTGGACATCACAGGGAGACCTTCTAGCTCTTGATTCCATAACTCAGCAAGGATAGGCTTTTTCATTAGTTCCACCCTTGTTTTAGCTTTACACTTCCCCTTGCTCTTTAATACTGTGCAATCCTGTTTGTGCATACCTGACCTTTGTGGTATATGCCACTTTCCCTTCCAACCAGCAGGTAAAAATCTTTTTGAACTTTAGCAGCCCATAATTAAGGGAGTGGAAGGGAGAGAGGGGGGGGAAGCAGAGGCAAGTAATCAATTTCTTTTGACAGAACTCCGCTCTTATCTGACTTTGCCATATCAGATTTTAATTCAATGGTGCTGACGTATTGGCGTCTCGCTTTCATTTGTACAGTTAGCCAGAATGAGCGTGAGCGTGTGTGTATCTGTGCACATGGGCATGATGAGCAATTAAAAAAACAAACAAACAAACAAACAAAAAAAAACCATGGAGTTGTTTTTTTTCCTGTAATAAGCGTCGCTAAATAAAGGCATCTACCTGAGCACACAAGGCACATTCCACTCGGTGCAACAGAAAGTCCAGGCGTCGCTTTCTGAGACCGGTTCACATTCCACATCGCCGAGCACTCAAAACTGTCGTACGAATTGCTGTCTGAAGTCTGTCCTCTTAGCCATTTTCAACTGAGATTTGTTGCACTGTGTCATTTTGTGTGTAGGCATAGACTGTCTGGCCTTTCTGTGGGACAGCTCTGGCTTGGAAGAGAAAAAATAATTTCTTTGGGCTTTATTGTATCTTCGGGTGTCATTTTTGTGCTGTAGAATTACGATTTTGAATGCTTTTATGCTTTTATTTTATTTTATTTTAAATGGCGTGAGTTAGCCTTAAGAAGTGGCCTTTGGGAGCTGACGGCTTCAAGGAACACAATTTCTTGAGCTGGTTTTCTGGGAGAGGACCTGAAGCTCCCCCCTCCCACCCACACCACCCCAGGGGCGCAGTAAGGTGCCAGCGAGGGGGAGCAGTTTGCTCGCAGAGGTCGGTACATCACCGTTTCCCTGGGATTCGCTGGCCCTTCCGAGGGTAAATTACCTGGTGTTACCCTCTTGAAGAGAAATACATATCCAGGGCCAAAGCCATTGCCTTGGGCCGTGCAAAACAATCCCTTGTGACTCTAAGTCACCCGGTGTACGACACCCCTAAGGCATTTCAGCTGATCTTTCCCTTTTCCTCTGTTCATGTGGATATAGCTGGGTTTGTGCAAACATTTAAAACTCAGATGAGAAGGACAGTGACACTAGTGCGAACGCACGCCCCCCTCAACTCCTTGGTAAACTGCGTTCCCCCTCAACTCCTTGGTAAACTGCGTTGGAGCCTCTTCTGACTGCAGATATCTCTGTTCTTTTGCCATAAGTCTGTGCGTTCAGCGGCCTCGATTTTTGTACAAGTGCTGTCATCTGGAATCGGTCCCACCTGATCGCTCACACCGCAAACATGTCCATTGGGTGGAAAGAAATTGCTGTTTTTCCTTTTTAAATCACCTGCTTGATTCTGCGAGCGAACAGACTACCTGCTTTTGTAGCCTAAACACGTATGTAGCTAAGTATGTTACGCTTTTCGTTTCTTGCAAATAAATATTTTCTGTAGAAAAAAAGCAAGTCCAGTTTGTTTGCTTTCCTGATGGTTGGAAAAGATCTGGTCTCTCGGCTTGTGCAGGTGCGGCGCTGTGCACAGCGTGCCCGTCTCCCACACGGCAGAACCCGGGTAATTCAGCACGTTGGTAGGCAGAGAAAGTTGAAAATAGCAGTTTTGGGGGGGGTGTTTCACTGAAGGTGGCTGCAATAATGGGTGGAAATGAGGTGGAGGCTGATGGCATTTAACAGTGGCGATGGCACGCGAATGCAGCTGTGCGATACGGCACCGTTAACCTTAAATTCTCCCCCCGTGAATGCGGGATCCGGGGAGGCTGATGCTCAGGGGCCTCGGCCTAGTGACACCGGTCTGCTCGAGCGTGCTGGAGCTTGGCTCGTGTGGGCCAACCAGGTAGTGACAAGACAAGAGGTAAGAGTTTGAAACTGGAAGAAGGTAGATTTAGATGAGATGTAAGGCAGAAATTCCTCCCTGTGCGGGGGGGGAGGCGCTGGCCCAGGGTGCCCAGAGCAGCTGTGGGTGCCCCCTCCCTGGGAGGGTTCAAGGCCAGGTTGGACGGGGCTGGGAGCAACCTGGGCTGGGGGAAGGGGGCCCTGCCCGGGGCAGGGGGGGTGGGACTGGTTGACCTTGAAGGTCCCTTCCACCCCAAACCATTCTGTGATTCTGTTGATTCTATGAAATAGCCCTCTGGAAAGCAAGGCCGTTCCCTGCGCTGAATTTACACGGGGCAACTAACTGCTTAACCTGAAGTGAATTCTTCAAAGAGCTCTTTCTGCCTTGGCTTTTAGGGGTTGGGACCTTTGCTGGCCTCAGCTCCTTCCCCTACCCCAACTCACCCCTCAGATAGCTGAAGAAGCCGTTTGCCTGGGCGAGCAGTCGACATTACGCCCCGCAGCCCAAAAGCACCATCCAGCCAGGGGACAGGGTTGACCTTTTGCTACCGTGAGTAGACATGGAAAAGAAAATAACTTAATTTCTCCCAGCCTGGGGACTCTCTGGCTTTGCCGGCCACCCAGGGAATGTGGCGATTGATGACCTAGTGCAGATGGGAAAATTACCCTGTGCAGAGCTGGCTTCACAAGTGACACAGCCGTTTGTGTGACGCCAGTTTTCTACAAGCAGAGGGACCTCGTATGTGAGTACCATGCATCCATATAACAGCAAGCAAGAGCTTACCCTCCGTGGGAAATACCAGCGATGGAAGTTTTAGTTCCAGCTTTACTGAACTGAAAATGGGGGCATGACAGATGGCTTCGGGGTGCCTCCTTTTCAAGGCCTCTCAAAGCAGGCGGCTTTAGAGGTTGGGGAAGGCAGTGCACCATGAAAAGAGGAACACCCTGGACTGCACCAAATTTGCGGCTGGGGCGGATTTTTAGAAATGCCTCAGTTTTGGGCTAAGGAGGTTAAAGCAGAAAAAGAAACTGGCAGTGAAGTTTAAAAAAAAAAAAAAAAAAAAAAAAAATTCCTCTTCTCTCCCAAGCTTTACCCTGGTGTTTTTAACCCAAGGATTGTCTTTGCTGCCCGCCACCGTTAACTATCGTGAGAGGAAAGGAAAGTGGAATGAGAGGTTTATTTTTTGCCTATCCAGTCTTTTTGGCGCGTCCCATCGCGCCCGCAGCCTGCGCGCAGTGCTCGAACAGAACGGCTCGCCCAGGCGGCGCCCGCTTCCAGCACCAGAACATAACTGTCTAACCCCATCTTGGTCACAGCAGACAACAAAGCGGCTCTTTCTCACAAAATTCAGTTTCTGTACCTGACTGAAGAAGTTCTGTGATGCTTTCTCCTGGAAGGCGGGGGTAGAAGGGCTTTACTTTGTCCTCGAAATTCTGCATCCTGCGCCTTTGCGCTCATCGTTGCGGGGGTTACTGCAGCCGACATCTTTCTCCTGCTGCTGCTGGGTGCCCTTTGCTTTCTGAACAGGCAGTTTCACTGGCTGGAACTATTGATCCAGGGCACTGGTTAGCAGCATCAAGACATACATAACATTTTTAGAGGAAAATCATTAGACTGTGACTGATTGGGGAAGTTAGTTTTAGCTGAGCTCAGTTTTTCCGAGCATACCAAACACTGGCTGGTGATTAAGGACTGGTTCATCTCCTCCGGTCTCAGTATTACCCTTAAAGCATCATACAGCAGGCAGTGCAGCAGGGAGGCTGTTATTAAAAAAGAAACGCACACACAATGCAGAAATGCTGGGTGATGAGCTGTCAGCTCCCTATCACCCTCCAGTACGTGCTGTTCTTTGAAAATGCACGTTGCTGTTTGAATTCAAGGCTAAATTTTGATACTTCTTTTTCGGGCTGCTGATTCCTGTTGCAGGGCAGGAGGAAGGGTGTCCGAATGCACCTTGCAATGCCTCTCATGGCACGGTGTGGGTAGGAAGTCTTTCACCCTTTGCTGTTAGCTATTGCTTGTACCCATTCTACAGCAGCACCCCTGCAGGTATTTCATGGCAGATTCATCACTGGCACTCCCTTTCCTGGTTCGTTTGCTTTGGGTGTTTTAGAAGTAAGGGACCTCACCAGCTTGGAGCGTAGAAGCAGCGAGCAAAAGCTTGCACCTTTGTCATAAATAAAATTATTCTGCAGGACCCATGTCCTGTGGAGAAAGAGCAATGGATGCGGACGGAGGAAATGAGCTTCTGGGTCTAGTCCTGCTCATGGCGTGCTGGTGAATCTGGCTGGCCCTTCTCTGTGCTTCAGATTCCTGGTCTGTGAAATGGGCCCCAGTGGTGGCCTCTTCCTCTTCAGAAAGCACACTGAGATCAACCAGAGCATGGTGATCCAGAGGAGGCCATAATTAGAAACAAAAGCATGTTTCACTTTGTGTCGAACGAGTAATGTTTGTGTGTCTTGTCTCCCTGCAGTTTGTGCTTCAAAAAGCGATTGATTTGATTTCTTATTTTCTTGCTCCTGTCTCCTATTGGCTTCGAATGGTACCCACAGAATCCAGGAATGACTTGTTCAACTTTCTGTAATTAAATTATTCTTAAATGGTATTTACACGAATTCTATACGCTGCTATAAAATTACTCCTTTGTGTATCGTGAGTAAGGAGGAAATTACAAGTTCTGGTCCTTAGCTTCGCCGTGATGGAGCTGAGGAAAGATAACCAATGTAGAGTAAGTCCATGTCTGTTGGGTTGTCTCACTTCCGCTGTCAAGAAATGGTTAAGTTCTGGTTAGCCTTTTTTTTTTTTATTTTTTTTTTTCCTCCTAAAAAAAAAACCCAAAACACTATTGGGAAAAAACCTGGGTTTGATCTGTGTCATCTGTGAATGGGCAGCACCCAGGCACTTCCAAGCCAGGACCAGGCCCTCCTCGTCACCTCCACTGAACATCTTCACAACAGGAATTTCGAGCTGCAGCAGCCGACGCACAGAAAGGGGAGCAGTGCCGCGAAATAGCTGAAAATGGTAAAACAAAAAATTAAATATATGTAGCAGAAAGCAGTAACTCGGCAGAGAACTGATCAGAGCCAGCACTGGCAGGGCTGCGGGGAGAAGCTTCTCTGCCCAAGAGGGAGATCTGCCGAGGTGAGGGCAGCGGGCGCCGTGTTAAGCCTCAGCACCCCTCAGTTCCCCGACGGGGAAGCGGTGTTCCACTGGAACTTCAAATGCTGACCAAAAGCGAATGTTTTCGTGGGCTTATCTATTGGCACTGGATCTGGGAAGGGCAGCTGGCGGCAGGTTCAAACATGCTTTAAAAAAAAAAAATTAATTTGGGGGGGGATGCAAATACATACACACGCACACACGTGTGTGTGTGTATAAATATAAGTATTTTTGTATGTTTTCCTGGAGGGTGAATATTGAGGGTTACCCTGAGGGTGAATTCTGTAT